TTTTTTTTTTTTTTTTTTTTTTTTTTTTTTTTTTTTTTTATGGCACCTAGCTCAACACCTCATGAATTGACACATTAAATCAATATTTTTGAAATGTAGCTAAGAGGTATAAATTAAATCAGTTTTAAAGGTTATCTAGTCTAATTGTCACTATCACCAACTTTCTCAAGTATCTTTAAGAAATAAGTCTCCTTTAAAACTTAAATCTCATTTCGGGTACATTTAAATTATTATTTGCTTGCTAAATCTAAAAACAAAACAAAAATTGAAAGCAGTTAGAATTGCTGCTTTTAGAAAATTTCATAAGCGGTAGTTTTCTCAGTTGTAAATGACACCTAATTTTCCAAGTAACCTGCCTCCCTACATTACCTCCTTTCTCCCTCCTCTCCTCATTTCTGACCTTCCTCACATTTTCCAGCTAACTGAACACTAGCAATATGCTAGACACTGTGAATATAGAAATGAATAAGGCACATTTTCTATTCTCAAGGAGATGTCTGTCTAGTGATGTTGGTCTGTACAGAGACTTAAAGTATCCAAAATGGTATCTCAGTAATTCTCTTACCATCATGTTTGATCAGGATATTTTATCTTCCATTCGTAGGGTCAGAATGTTTCCTCTGTATTCTAATAGATTTTTGATAGCAATAAGGTCTGCTCTAAGTATGTAATAAGGCCTTGTGTCTCCTGTTGTCCTTTGCAGCATCACCATTTTAATGTAAGCGTTCATGTGGCAATACTTTATAGTTGTAAATGCCATATGGAGGTCGCCTTAGAATTTATCTAATTTAATGGCTTGTTTTACTGATAGGGAAAAACTAAAACCAATAAGTGGTAGTTAGGATTATTTTAAAATTGCAGAATTTAAATGTTCTCTCCTGTGTTCACTGATCTTTTTTTGTAGCTAACAGATAGTTTTCCCCCTCACAGATATTCAGATATTTGAAGAAAAATTCTTTTGTAAATCATCCCTTAAGCAGGCTCAGTTTTAGTAATTGTTGGTTATATGATGAAGCTTCTTAATTTTTCACCGTTATTGGTAATTTTTCTAGTTGAATTTGAATGGATCAGTCCCTCTGAAATCTATCAAGCAACAATTATAGGACTGTAGCTTCATGATGAGAGGAAATGGCTTGTGCCCCTCCCTCTCCGTGTGTGCTTCTTATTATGTTATTTTTTAGTTTCCCTACTTCCAAATTACTCTTGAGGTGTCTGGGCTAAATATAAGACTGTGATTGATTATTGGCCCAGTTATCCATTTGTTGCAAAGTTTTATGATAGCTGTATGGTCTGAATTATAGCTTTCGAAACTGTATCAGCTCATTAATTTTTCTTTTTAAAATTTTGTTTTCAATGTTATGATTTATTTACTTGCAACTTTTTTCTTGCTTTTTGATTTTCTTTATTTTTTATTTTTTAAAATCTTATATTACAGACAAACAGAAACTTCCTCCTTTCATCTTTCCATTCTCTGATTTATGATGAATTTAGTTTCCTTTGGCCTGGCATTTGCTTCAGCAGGCAGCCTTCCTTCAAGTACCTCCCTGATTGATGTATAATCTTTGATATCTTCCATTAGCCTCCAGGATCACTAAGTTCAAGGCCCCCTTGGAACCTAAGAAGCCCTGCCGAGGAGCTGAAGGCCTTCAGAGTCCTTGGGGTGATTGACAAGGTAATTCTTCAGTGTCTCTTCAAGAGTTCAGTTATAAATCGACTGCATGCTGACATTCTGTCTTTGAAGCTTTGGATCTTAAGGATATGAAACAAAAGGAGAAAATGACTCAAATGCATCTGTACTTTAAAATAACAAAAGCAGAAGAGGAAAAGCTTTTATCTAAGCAATTCATGTAAGGCCATGCAAAATATATTTGAGCTAAAGGAGAAGGTGCATATTTGTTGGCATTCAGTTGAGTAAGGGATTTGGCTTTATAAAAGTGTTACAGCAGGGTAAAGATGTAGTTTTTGTTAATTATGAGGCAGTAGTTGTTTAACATTAATTAATACAGTCATTTTAATGGTCCAAAATAAAAGTTGAATCTCTCTATAACTACCATTTATTGAGCACCTACTGTGTGTAAGACCCTATATTAGGCATTTTATATAGAACAACTTAATCTTTCTTAGAATTTTATTTGCATCTTGGTGGAAAAGTTTTGTTTAGAGCAGATTAAATAACTTGGCCCAAAGTCACCTAGCTAGTTAAGGGAGGTGCTGGGATTTGAACATTAATTTTTGTGACTCAAAAGCTGTGCTTTTTCTAGTACACTAACCCCTCACTTCACACACACATACATTTTAATATTTGGGATAAAAATACTGACCTCACAGAGAATCTGCCATTGTGTATGTGCAAATTTGGTGACATCTCAATATGCCAAATATTAACAGTACTGGTCTTATCAGATGGTTTACAAGTGTAATTTAAAAGCCACAGACAACAAACCATGTTTTAAATATAGTTGCTCAACTACCACTTTACCATTCAAAGTAAAAGAAAATGTTTTATTTAATATTAAGAGATAAGTTAGATATTTTTCACCATTAACCGTTTTTTATGAAGCACCTTAATGTTCATTTTTAACTTAATATTCATTGAGTATTTGTAAAGTATGTGTGTGATTACATCCTAAAATTGAACAACATGTAGTATTCTCTAGCAATTTAGACAGTAACTAATAGTTTGAAGTATTCCAAAGGGAAAATGAAGTTGGATGTTACATAAAGCTGTCGGTGTCTTAGTTCTGGCAAGGATCATTTTTCTCAAATAAATTTATATTACTGAATTTTGCACTTAAAAATTTCTAAGCAGTAGGATTTTCCTTTTTTTACGAGCCTAAAATATTTCCGTAACTGTGTTTTCTGTGGCTTTTCCAGTTTGGAAAACATTCGATTTGAGAGTAGCTGAAGACAATATAGTAATCGAGTAGTTCCTACATTCTCAGATTTCTTTTGCAGGCAGGTATACCTTCTTGATGTACAGTGTCTGCCCTCTCCCTTAGATCTGTTTCTTTGACAAAGTATGGCCTTTCAGTGCTATGCTGTAAGTAAGTTACCTTGAAGTCCTAGTAATCACTATGAGTCTTACAGGTTTGTTTAAATAAGGACTTTTGCCAGATGTGGTAGTTTATAACTGAAATCCCAGCGCTTTGGGAGACCAAGGCAGGCAAATCACTTGAGCCCAGGAATTTGAGACTATCCTGGGCAACATGGTGAGAATCTGCCTCTACAAAAAATAGAAAAATTATCTGGGCGTGTAGTCCCAGCTACTCGGGAGGCTGAGGTGAAAAGATCTCCTGAGCCTGGGGAGTTGAGGCTGCAGTGAGCCGTGATCACACCACTGTACTCCAGTCTAGGTAGCAGAGTGAGACTCTATCTCAAAAAATAAAACAAATAAAAATAAGAACAGAAATCAGGTCTTCAAAAAAAAGAAAAAAGCTGGGTGCAGTGGCTCATGCCTATAATCCCAGCTCTCTGGAGGCCGAGGTGGGTGGATCTCTTGAGGCCAAGAGTTCAAGACCAACCTGGGCAACACGGTGAAACCCCGTCTCTACCAAAAATACAAAAAATTAGCTGGGCCTGGTGGCACATATCTGTAATCCCAGGTTCTCGGGAGGCTGAGGCAGGAGAATCATTTGAACCTGGGAGGCAGAGGTTGCAGTGAGCTGAGATTTCCCCACTGCACTCCAGACTGGATGACAAACTGAGACTCCATCTCAAAAAGCCAAAAAAAAAAGAAAATAGAAGGACTTTTGACAGTGGAAGAGTTGCTAAGTTCTGCAGAGGCATGATTTGGTACTGTCTTTACTTACTCTGTTTAGTTGGGAAATATGTTTGGTGTTTAGAAAGTGACACTTAACTTTTCTTTTTCTTTCTTTTTTTTTTTTTTTTTTTTTTTTTTTTTTTTTTTTTTTTTTTTTTTTTTTTTTTTTTTTTTGAGACAGAATCTTGCTCTGTCACCCAGGCTGGAGTGCAGTGGCACAATCTCACTGCAGTCTCCACCTCCCGGATTCAAGTGATTCTCCTATGTCAGCCTCCCAAGTAGCTGAGACTTAAAGGCATGCACCACCACACTTGGATATTTTTTTTTAATTTTTTTTGTATTTTTAGTAGAGACAGGGTTGTACCATGTTGGCCAGGCTGGTTTCGAATTCCTGCCTTCAGGTGATCTGCCAGTCTCGGTCTCCCAAACCAAAGTGCTAGGATTACAGGTATGAGCTGTGGTGCTTTGCCTAACTTTTCTTAGTAGAGATAGGAAATATGTATTTTGGACATTAAGAAGCTTTGGGAATTAATAATTCTTTTAAAATTTATAACATATTCCTGTAAAAACATAAGTAGGTATAGTGTGGGAGCTGTGGCTCTTTCCTGTAATCCCAGCACTTTGGGAGACTGAGGTGGGCAGATCACCTGAGGTCAGGAGTTAGAGACCAGCCTAGCCAACATAGTGAAACCCCATCTCTACTAAAAATATGAAAATTAGCCAGGTGTGGCAGTGGGCACCTGTAATCCCAGCTACTCAGGAGGCGGGAGAATTTCTTGAACCTGGGAGGTGGAGGTTGCAATGATCCTAGGCAACAGAGCCA